TAACTGAATTATTTTGCCCAAGATACTAGGGGGGAAAAAAAGAATCATTAACCTCCATTGCACCTATGGATGAATTAATTTCCATAGGAAGAGGGAAGACATCAGAAATTTGGTTTGGACATGTTGAGTTCGAAACATCTATTAGACATCAGTATGTAGATGTCAAACCAGGAGTTGGACAATTTATATGGAGCTCAGGAGAAAGGTCTTCACTACGGATGTAAATCTGGGCATCATTCATATAGGGTTGCTAATTAAAGACACAACACTGGATGAAATTATCAAGAGAAGGACTGTTGATACAGAAAAAAAAAGGCCCGAAAACTAATCTCTGAGGAACTTTAAGTGATCAGGGAGATGAGGGTAAATGAATCCAGAAAGAATGATTGATATGGTAAAATGAAAGCCAAAAGAGGTATGGTGTGTGCAGTCAAAACTCTTTGAAACTGACATGGCCTAGCATCCAATTTAATGAACTAAGAAATAGAACACCAAACTTGCCTCTGAAAAAGAAGGATAAAAAATAAATATTAGAGCTGAACTCAGTAAAAAAAAAAGTAAATATAAAGTTAAAAGCACCAAAAAATTGTGTTCTTAGAGGAATAACAAAAATAACCTGACCAAGGGGAATAAAGGTAACTCACAAATACATAATGCAAGGAATGAGAAGGAAGAAATAACTTTAGATGCTGATGAGAGTTCCAACAACATTATAAACAAGTTGATGCCAATAAATTTGAAAATGCACGTGAAATTAAGAAATCACCAAAGACATAAATTATTAAAACTGAATCAACTAAAAGCAGAAAATCATTACAGTCTTATTAAGGAAATTTGACCAATAGTTTAAAATATTCCCAAAGGAGGCCAGGCACGGTGGCTCAAGCCTGTAATCCCAGCACTTTGGGAGGCCAAGGCGGGTGGATCACAAGGTCGAGAGATCGAGACCATCCTGGTCAACATGGTGAAACCACGTCTCTACTAAAAATACAAAAAATAAATAAAACTAGCTGGCGTGGTGGCATGTGCCGTAATCCCAGCTACTTAGGAGGCTGAGGCAGGAGAATTGCCTGAGCCCAGGAGGCGGAGGTTGCGGTGAGCCGAGATCGCGCCATTGCACGCCAGCCTGGGTAACAAGAGCGAAACTCCATCTCAAAAAAAAAAAAAAAAAATTCCCAAAGGATAACCCAAGGTTTCCATAATTTTATAAGGAGAATTCCACAAAAAATAAAGGAAGAGATTATTCTGTTATTATAAAAGGACTTTCAAATTTTTGAAAAAAAAGAAAATATATTCTTCAATGTGTTTTTATTATCTGTAGTAAGCATACTACAATGGAGAAAATTAGTCTCATTGATAAACAGAGATGCAAATATCCTAAAATATTGATTAGCAAATGAAAACCAGCAATGTACAATTAATAACCCATGAAAAAGTAGAGTTTATTTCTACCTTAAAATTAGAATGTAAGTTAATATAATTTACTAAATTAATAGGTTAAATAAAAAAAACTATATAATAATCTAAGTTCATACAGAAAAGTCATTTTATTACATTCAGCATTCTTTCATGATAAAATTGAGCAAAGGAACTTATTTAACCTGAAAATGAGTAACTGTAGAAAACCCACAATAAGCATTATTTTCAATGTGAAATTATTAAAAGCATTCCCTTTAAGATCACAAACAGGCCGGGCGCGGTGGCTCAAGCCTGTAATCCCAGCACTTTGGGAGGCCGAGGCGGATGGATCACGAGGTCAAGAAATCGAGACCATCCTGGTCAACATGGTGAAACCCCGTCTCTACTAAAAATACAAAAAATTAGCTGGGCATGGTGGCTCATGCCTCTGATCCCAGCTACTCAGGAGGCTGAGGCAGGAGAATTGCCTGAACCCGGGAGGCGGAGGTTGCGGTGAGCCGAGATCGCGCCGTTGCACTCCAGCCTGGGTAAGGAGCGAAACAACTCGGTCTCAAAAAAAAAAAAAAAAAAAAAAAATCACAAACAAGAATGCCTACTTGAAAGTCTCACTACTTCTGTTCATTGTTGTATTAAAGGTCCCAGTCAATATAATACATTTAATCCCTGCCTTCCAATGAAAAAAAGAATTTAATTGCTTATTATAAAAGCAATTCATGCATATTACAGATAATTATGAAAACAGAGGTTCAGAAAGGTCATTCATAGCCTCCATTGCCCAAATAGAGCCACTATAAATAAATTGGTGGAGAGTTTTGTCGTTTTGTTTTATTTTTATAATGAATTGTACAGTCTTCATAACTTATTTTAATGGTTATATAATTTCAAAATATAATTTGTTATATTTTACATAAGCATTATTTTATTACTGGGCATATTTTTATTTTTGATTATTATTTAAGTTATTGATTGCCTCTTATGTCATGTACTATTCAAAATATTTCAATTGTTTCTCATTTCTCTCAGAGTAAAAGCCAAGGTCCTTACAGTAATTAATAAGGGTTATATGATTTCATATTTTAAAAATTGATGTAGATGCAATAGTCTCTAGAAGGCAAAAGCTGAAGCTATTCCATTTATCCAGCTGAAAAATAATGGTGGATTTGATCAAGTTACTAGTGATAAGATAAGGAATTATATATATGTTCTACTCCATAAACTACACTTGTTAAAAATCCCCAAATAAATTTGAGTATCATCTTTCCTCAAGTTGCAGTGAAATCGAGCCTTTTAGAGTTATTTCTGTGTGTCATATTTTGCAATGGTTCCACAGTTCAACAGAAAAATTCACTGTTTGCTCCCACTGTCCCAACTCCTGCATTCCACATTCAACTAAACAAAACAAAAACTCTAGTATTCAGACTTTTCTCCTGAGATCAGACAATAAAGAACTCCAAGACATTAAGTGTTAATCACTGGACTCAGCTACTAAACATTACTTCCTCATGTAGTTTGTCTCTACTGTAGGCAACAAGGCATGCATACCGTAATCTCCTTTACAATAGCCAACATAAAACCAAATAAAAATTAGACAAAACCAAATATACTTTTCTCTCCCCATCTCGTTTCACCACCAAGTAAATTCTGAAAATGAGAAGTTTGTTTCTGTTGGCCTTTAACATCCAAATAATTACGTACTCCAAAAGATCAACATCCTTTTCACACTTAATCTAAAATTAACTTTTAACAACTACAAAAGTATTTTTATTATACTTTATTTGCTTTTGTAGTTTTACTACTAGTCTTGCATTTCTTGCTTAAAAGTGCTCAGTGTTAATCAGAAGGTCTTACTTCTGTTAAAGCTTCTCTTCTTTGGGTGGTGGAACAATAAGTGTCCACTCTCAACTTCACTCTGTTTTCAAGATTTTCAATGATATGCATGAATTACTTTTACAATAGAAAAAAATTCTTTAGCAAATTTTAGATTCAGGGAATAAATTGTATTATACCAGCTGGGACATTCACTACAATATGGAATATACGTAATGATGCTGCACATTCTTGTCAGTTTTTTTTTTTTTTTTTTTGAAAAACTAGAACTATGATTCAATGGCATAAAAAAAAAAAAAAATTAAAAAAAAAAAAAACAACAAAAACCTAAGACCTACCTTCCTGCTTGACAACCAAACCACCACAGTTACACAGTTATGTATCACATGGTTGGGAATATTAAGGAAAAACAATAGCAACGACCCTGGCACCTGGTTTTCAAATACAATGTTTGCATTTTTATTGTTGTCACATTATTTTCTTGCAGAGTGTATAGTTAGGGGAATGCTATTTTAATATTGTGCTAACTGGAAGTGAAACTAACACTTAAAAATTCGTAAGAAGAGTTTGTGTTCTTATATTAGCATTCAGAGGTAGAGTAAGGGTGATTGGAAGGCATGTGAGTGTGACTCAAACCCACATCATATTTGTTTATATTAAAATAATGCCTTTCTGATATATGGCTTTGCCCTGAATTAAAGTGCTAAACAATTTTTGTATGCATCACTCTGAGTATAATTAATGTAAAATCAGGATTTGGAGTTTTAAAATTAATAATTCTAAGCAGTAATTTTATCTAAGCCACAGTATTCTCATTGGTCTCCTTTATAAAGAATACAGTAGACTGTCAGTGAGTTGTTGTGACATTTCACATGTTTAATCAGTAGCATATAAAAATAAATAAACATGTAAGAAAGTCTGAATTTATTTTAAAAGTGTGATGGTTCAATCTTATATTCAAAATAGATTTCTTCTAACAATCTGAAAATAGAATATTTTCTCTGATATTTTCTGTTGAAAAAACAGATAATATCAAAGAAATTTTTTTTTGTTTCAGTTGGAGTCTAACTCTGTCACTCAGGCTGGAGTGCAGTGGCATGATCTCAGCTCACTGCAAACTCTGCCTCCTGGGCTCAAGCAATTTATGCTGATAATCAAAAATAAATGTTTCATTTTTACTAAATTATAAAATTCAAATTTATGTATGCCTTACTTTAAGAATATATAATTTTCAAAATTTCAAATTTGTGAAATATATTATTATCAAAAATATACTTTATAAAATAACCTTTTTGTCTATTTTTAGAGATGATTAATCAATGCTAGATTAATCTAGTGTGCATTATATATAATAATTATATTTTCAACCAATTATTCAGAGACATGTATGTTACATAAAAGGAGAGAAACATAGTCTCACCAATTCTCTATACACTTCAGTGAAATTTGAAACCATTTTGCACAGTCCAAAAAGAGTAACATTTAGAAGTCTCACAAAGCAGTTATCCAATTTGCCATTTCCTTTTCCTTCTAGTGAATTTGTCACTGAAGCATTATAATCAAGTATCACCCATAATAAACAAATAGCAGCATTAAAAATTTTATCTAACTTTTTGAGCTAATGTAAGTTAAAAGTTAATAACCTTAAACATTTAAAACTAAGTTGAAATTGATAGCCATACAATTTTAAAGCCTCAAATATGAGTGATTTTATACTTTGTAGTTCCAATTAAATAATTCAGAGGAAAAATTACCTTTGCTGCAGCTCAGGTGCAGAGTCCATGAGAGTCAATTTCTCCATTTGTTTTGTATGTACTGTAAGCATTATCTTTCTGATTATTCACACTTCTTCACTGTTTCGACTTCTAAGTGAGACCAAGCTATATAAACCAAGATTTACTTCCTCTTTTTGATGTTACATTCATTTCTCATATTTTCATATAATAGTAAAGAGAACGAGTAATATATACCAGCTCATGATTTCAACAAATTGCAATTAAAAACACCAGCCCAATTCTTTTCTTCTTTCACTCTATGAAATATTTTATTATTTTATCAACAACTTTCTATACACAAATAAAAGTTAGAGGTACTCAATACAAAAACTGAGTAGCAAGCACAAATTTAAATGTGCCATAAGAGGACAATATTGCCACTGTTAGGTGAAAGCCCCTGAAAGAAGATACATTGTCTCTCAGTCATCATAATCTGGCTTCAGTTTTTCTGGATTTTACAAATCATTCTTGGTGAAGTCAACAAGTAAAACAAAGTGGAAAACACTGGGCTTACCACAGGACAGAAGGAAGGAAGGAAGGAAGGAAGGAAGGAAGGAAGGAAGGAAGGAAGGGGAAAGTGTGTGTGTCTGTGTGGGGGTGTGTATGTGTGTGTGTGTGTGTGTGTGTGTTTGTCAATGTGTGGATATGATAATTATTACCAGTGTTGACCATTTTCACCCAAATTCAATTCTTCTGTACTTGTAGCTTACTCAGAGTTAGTAGTGGCCATGAAGCTAGTTCTGGCCATGAGGCCATGAGAGGGAGGGTTGAAACATTTTCTTGCCAGTGCTCGACTCTACGGCTCTCCTTTTCAGCTGACTCAGTGATCACCAAAGCAGGTGTCCAAATGGAGCTTTCATGAGCTCAGGTCCCAAGTGGTTCTGATGAACAAAGCTTCCTTGTAAGCTTTGTTGGATTTGTATCATAAATGAAAAATAAACTATTTTATTAAAACTACTGAGATCTGGGGGGTTATGTACTATAACTAGCCAATTCTGACTGATTCAGGAATAAGGTTATGATTACTATATTTTGGAAAGCAGTGTGCCATTTAATACCCATACCTAGAAGAACAACAATCTCCTCTGCTCACTTTGGTATAATATACGGGCTACCTTCCCTGTAGAGCTGATATGAGGAATAGTAGTACGATAGAATGGAAAGAAGACAAGGCTAGAAGATCTGGATACTTCTCCAAAGTAATGCAAACTAATTAGTAGCAGAGCTTGGTCCACTCACTAATTTGTATGCATTACTGTGGACAAGTCATTTCAGCACTCTAAACTCAAGTTTCTCATTTGTAAATGGAGACAATAATAGCTTCTCTGCCTATATAACAAAGGTGAATATCAAATTTTTATATGTTGCCGTAACTAGATCATAGAAATGTATTCTATTCTTCTCTAAATTCCCAATCACCTAGTAAAATATCTTACAGTACAATAAGTACTAAATAGATGTTTAATAATTAATGGCAAATTCTATTCCAACAATTATGTAAGACTTTAACTAAGGTCTATCTCTGGTTTATAGAATACACTCACTTCTCACCATGAGTTCCATATCAATGGATTCAACCAATCATGGAATGAAAATGTTTGGGGGAAAAATTAAAAAATAAAAATAAAATAATAAAAATAATATAATAATTTTTATTGTTAACAAAACAATAAAAATAATTGTATTTGATTAACAATAAAAATAATTCAAATAAAAATGCAGTATCAGTTACTTATATAGCATTTATATTGTGTTAGTTATTATCAGTAATCTAAAGATGATTTAAGGGGTCTGGAAACAATATCCTGCAGATACTAAGGGACAACTGTATTTGAGAACATGTTCTTTTTTTAAAAATTTATTTATTATACTTTAAGTTCTGGGGTACATGTGCAGATTGTGCAGTTTTGTTACATAGGTATACACGTGCCATGGTGGTGGTTTGCTGCATCCATACCCCCATCATCTACTTTGCAGGCACATAGATGAAACTAGAAACCACCATTCTCAGCAAACTGACACGAGAACAGAAAACCAAACGCTGCATGTTCTCACTCATAAATGAGAATATGTTCTTCATGAAGTACCTTGTTAGCAAAATGTTTAATTACTTTTAAATGTGTTAAATACTTATTAATCATCTACCACATGTCAGGCACTGTTCTAAGCATTGGAGGAGTGACTCAGGGAACAAATTAGACAAATTCTCTGCTATGATGGAGGAAAATAGACAGTGATAGACAAAGGCTGTGTGTGGTAGAAGGGGGTGGAAAGAATGAATTTGACAGATGGTCAGGAAAGGCCTCTTTGTTAAGTTGACATGTGAGAAGTGAATTAAGTGAAATAATGCAAACCATGTAGGTACTTGAGAAACTGGCATTCCAGGCAGTGGGCATAGCATGTGTAAGGGCCCTGAGGTGAGAAGAGTATTGTGGTGCTTACAGAGTAGGACAATTATGTCCTTTGTGGGGACACGGGTGGAGCTGGAGGCCATTATCATTAGCAAACTAACACAGGCACAGAAAACCTGATACCAAGAGTTCTCATTTATAAAAGAGAGCTAAAGGATGAGAATACATGGACCCTTAAAGCGGGACAACATACACTGGGGCCTTTTGGAAGGTGGATGCTGAGAGGAAGGAGAGAATCAGGAGAAAAAAACTAAAGGATGCTAGTCTTAATACCCGAGTGTTGAAATAATCTGTACAATAAATCTGCATGACACAAGTTCACCTATTTAACAAACCTGGCACTTGTACCCCCGAACTTAAAATAAAAGTTAAAAATAGTATGAAAGCCATTTAGACTGAGGCAACATGAGCAAGAGAAAGAATATAAGGGAAGAGATCGGAGAAATAAAAGAACCAGGTTCCCAGTAGGCTATGATGAGGACCATGAATATTATTCTCAAGTTAAAAAGCATTAGAAGGTTTTGAGCAGAGGAGAAACATGACTCATCTCACATTTCGAAGGATCACCAAGTCACCTGGGCTGCTTTGTGGAGGACAGATTGGGGAGGGGGTGCAATTACATAAGCAGGAAGATGAATTGGAAGGCTACTAAAATAGTCCAGGTGAGAAAACTGGCCCCAACTCACTTGATGATGTATGCATATATGTATATTCAAACCAGGTTTTCTTACTGCAGCCATTCACAGGGCCTTTCCTATATTACTCTGGCAAGAGTCAAACTGGAGAGCAAAAAATGTGTCTGCATACGCAGGAATATATATGTATATGTATATATATACACACATATATGTAGCACTATATGCAGAAATATATATATATAGTGCTATATACATAGAGCTATAGTCAGAGATAGCAACATGATATGGATGGCAAGAAAGGAGGGCTTTGCTTTAACAGATGTACAAGAACAGAGTTTGTGTAGGAGAAGGAGGAGGAAGATAAATTTTATTTGCTAAAGGTTAGTTATTTTCAAAATGTGTTCTTTCAAGGGAAGGATCAGGTATCGAGGTACTCAAGGTAGAGAGAAAACAGAGATAACATACGTGGCACACACACACACAAAGACCAAACAAAAAGAAAGTCCTGTGGACCTATTTCTGCAGAGGCATGAGAAGAGTTATTTAGAAAGAAGATCCAGCAGGAGGCAATGTAGGCTTATGAAGTACGGCAGGCACATCAGCCTAGAAATATTTAATCAATCAATCAAATCTTCCCTAAGACTTACAGCTAATAGGGAGGAAAATATACGAGAGGCATAGGCTTACTGTGAGTTGTTTTGCAAAATACTCAGTAGTTGTTGGTTTCTATTGTTGTAACAAAATTTCCCTTTGTTACATGTGATTAGCAAAATTGCTAGTGCCTGCATTTACAAATCCTAAACTCTATAGAGTTCATTTTCCTAAATTCCAACCTAATTTGAGCCAATCAATAAATGACCCCCTTAAAAAATAGCCCAGAGTTTAATTCCAGAGAAACTAGGCAGGAGCCAGTGTTATCAGGAGCAAAGTATCCCAAAGATCAGCTACGAAGTCAATTGTTCAGGTTGGTTGGAGGTCATGTTCTACATAAACAGCAAACGGGCAGGAAGTCATTGTCTGGGTAGTCCATGCCAAATAAACCACAGGGCAAATTTGGGACAAAAAAAGAAATGGTAAAGCTGCCATGCATTTGTATCCTGAAGTCAGAGCAGCCAAGAAAGCAGTTTTTCCAATAGCTGCTTAAGAACTTCTGAGACTACTAATGTTGGCACAGCTCAGACCCATACACCAGCAGCTCATGGAATCGCTAATGTCTGGAATGTCTAAAGGCATCTGATGTTTCTAACTTGCTGCTACCAGCTATCAGGAGTATACACTCAGCATGGTAAAGAGCCCACAAATGTGGTCAGTTTATCTAGAGACTGTTTTTTTCTCTAGGTTAGTGCTGTGTTCCTCTGCGGGGTTGAATAAGTAGGACACAGGCTGAGCTCCTGAAATAGAGACTCCAAATACAGCAGTATAAACAAAGTGGAAGTTTGTTTTTGTGCTCATTTAACCATGCAGAGATTAGTAATCCCAAATCTGAGAGGGCATCTGCCTTTCTCAACAGGGTGTTCCATCTCTGGACCACTTTGGCTGTCCCAGTCTTATCACCTTCTAGTAACACACATCACTTTCTCTCCTATTCCTTTGGTCACAGCTAAGTCTGTGAGAGGAACTAGGAAACAGAATACCTACCAGGCAGCCACACACCCTTCAGAAATTCAAGATTTCTCTTTAAAATAATGGAAGATGGATCCCAATGGACATCTAGGAAACTGCCATGGGAAACTTGGCAAAGCAACACAAATGTGAGGCTTGAGAGGAAGAGAATAATTGGAATTTTCCTTGTTTTATAGATGAAGAAACTAAAATAAAGTTGTACGACATTTTTTAAACTCATTCAGAAAAATCTGGATATCAGTGGGTGACTTTCCTTGCTGTTATTCATTATAAAGACTCCATGCTTACATACTTATTTTTGTAAGCATTTACATCCTTTGTATATACACAAACTTTTGCTGGAAATAATTTTATTCCTCCTCCTATTACTTTTAAAATTATCAGTGATCCACAGTTCAAAGATTAAGAGTTAT